GTGAAATAGGAAGAAAATGTTGAAATGGGAAAGGGAACTAGGGAGGGTGATGGGGAAAGGAAGGGAAGAGAAAAGAAAACAGAAAAGTGGAAACAAAGCTTTTGGAAATAAGGTGGCAAGAGGGTTAAAGGGAAGAGAGGAAAAGGAGGGAAAAAGAAAAAAGAAAAATGAAGATAAATCATGTTCAGTACAAATTTCCTATGATGAATGTAATCATTATACATATGTCTAAAATATATCAATAAAATTAACTTTAAAAAGAGTTTGTAGGCTATGAAAGTAGTGAAGGTTGAGACAGTCCGTCTAGAGACCAGAGTCCCCTGAAACCATCAACCTTCTCTCTTACCAAACACCATCTGTTTCACCCAGACAACTCTGCTGACTCTAGATAGCACTAAAATGTAATGAACTTTACCTTCTTAGATCTCTGATATCCATATCTTTTCCTACTGGTCATCATCTGTTATGGTTTGCGTTTTAAATATCCCCCCAAAACCTCATGTGGTCATGGAGGCGGGCCTTCTGGAGGTGGCTGAGTCTAGCATTTGTGGTTGATCCATTGTCCAGTGCTGGGACTGGCACTGTGAGCGTTGCATCCCTGCCCAGGGGCAGGATCTGTCACACAATATAAGGGAGGGAAAGAGGAGCTCTCTTCCCTTTTGCCTTTTTTGCTCTGGTCTCTTGCAGCCGCCATGATGGTTGCCCCTCAGCCATGCCCCCTGCTTTGGATCCAGCTGAGCATGGACTGAATTCTCCAAAAACTGTAAGCCAAATAAATTCCTTCCTTCATTTTGGATGTTGGATAGTTTGTCTCAGCAATAAATGAAAAGTAACCAAGACATCATCTATGTAATTTTCCTTCAAAAGTGTTTGGGTCATGTAATTCTTTTCTCTCTCCACAGGGAAATTATAAACTTTTGAGATCAAGGTCCATGCTTTAGATTTGCTTGGTTTTAGAGCTTATGACACACTAAAGAGATAGACAAAGAATGCTGACTCACTTTGACCACTGCCTAGGGCAAAACAATGTGATAATCTCTTTGAAAATGTGAATATATATATTCATGTATATGTGTGTGTATGTCTGTGTGTGTTGTGTATATATGTGCTGTGTGTGTGTGTGTGTGTGTGTGTGTGTGTGTGATACTGGGGACTGAACCCAGGGCTTTCTGTATTCTATTATCAAATGACACCTTAGTCCAATTTTAATTATATAACTCTAGCTTTTTCATACAGGCTTAGACATATAGTTTTCACCTCAGCCCTTTCAGGGTAGTTACACATTTTACAATGAACTATTTAATGAATGCTTCACATGAAACATTTACCCCAATTCTTCACCTAGAAAATTATTATCTTATACCAACAGAAGAACAAAGTAATCAAATTAAAAGTTTGATAGTATTTGAGCTAAGCAGAATAAGGAGTTCGGTATTCTCATCAAATTTGGAGGGAGGTAAGAATACTACAGCTTCCCTTAATAATGGTGGATTTAAGATTTTTTCTGTTTTAATGTCCTAATTAAAGCTGCAGCAGGAAACTAATACGGAAGTCACCTATAGATCTTATCACCTTTATTTTCAAAATGTATCCACTCTCGTGGTGTTCCTCCTGCAGTTCCTCCAATCACTTTTCTCGTCTCATCTTAATACTTCTGCTTTTCACTCTTTACAGGCAAAGTCTCTTAAAAAGTTGTCTCAGATCTTGTCCCTCTTTCAAATGCTCTAAATCTACTCCTTCTGTTTTCAGTTCCCTGAAGAACTCAAAGAGCCTCCTCCCTTAGACCCTGCTCCACCTCACAGGTGCTGCACGGCCAGCTGTCACCTGGGCTTCAGGGCAGGCTGCCTGTCAGGCACCAACCTTCAGGCCCTGCCAGACCTTTGTGGCTTCCCGCCTCTGACTGCCTCATGCCTCTCCTTAGCATATGCTCAAGCATCTTCCCTGTACACTGTAACGCAGTACCTTGCTCCCCACTCCTCCCAGTTCCAGTGTTCTGCTAACCTGTAATACGGTTCCCCACAGCAACACAAAATGTTGCATTAATATTACATCACACATGCCAATATACATACTATATAATTTATACTATATAAATAGCATTAATTCTGTACTAATAGATAAAATGTAAACATCATTTTCTCACTGGTATCTCTCATGAGCTATTTTGTTGATTGAGTGTGTGCCCGAGGAAATGACTTTATTTTGTTGTGTGATAATTTCCCTTTGCCTGGATCAGGACATTGCATAAATTATCAGCTCAATTCCTGTGAATAAATATTTGTATGAATGTATAAGTAAAACTTCACTTACTTTTTACTGTATTTTTCTGTCACTCTGGCCAAGTTTATGTACATATTACAGAAATCATTGTAAGATACTATATTATTTCAATAAGGGTACATGGCTAAAATTATGTATAAACCCACCTGCTATTAAACAAATTGACTTCTTATAAGTAACTCCACTCTCCCTTATTATTTGATGATTTAAATTAGTTAAATTTGTGAAACCTTTGGTATTTTTTAAAGGCGAGATACAAATTAAAGTTAGTGAATTTCTAATTTTTTAGACTCTGAATGACAAATCTTATGGAATAATTTTATGCATAACATATGTGTTCTGAAAATTTAGCTTTCTCTTTTATTTTATTTTGACGATAGTAAAAATACAACAGAACAAGACAGAACAAAGCCAATCGAGACAATGCAGTGAAATTGGTACAGAACTTCACAGCGGGATACTGGGATGGTAGTAATAGGTACTATGGTATATCTTGTTATCTTCACAATAGCTGTCCAGTCAATTAAGTATAGCAAAATCAAACCAAAAGCATAACATTATAAAACCAAGTGTTGAATAGAGCAAAACAAACATAACAAAACAAAACAGTGAAAACAACCTTTGCCTTCAAACAGAAGATAGAAGGAAATACCTATATTTGCTATATTGCATATGGTCATCCTCCCAAGAGCTGCTGAGACATCTATCCCCAGTTGCTGGGGGGTGGGAATTTGATTCTCACCCCAAGTGTGAGGTAGGCTCACAGGAGGCTCACAGGCTGGTTCTCCTCCACACCAGGGGCGCTTACCAAGAGCAGGTGAATATAGCTTTTTCCTTTTGTTCTATTTTCATGCGTAAATGTCTCCCCTAACTCAATACTTTGCCATCAGTTTTAACCTACATTTGAAAACCTTACAACAAAGTTCACGGTTGGTAAAAAAGATCCTCAATGACCTGGTAGTTACGGGGCTCTCACTGAACATTAAAAACAAATGAGTGAAAAAAAAAATCAGAAAATAATGACTCTGCCCTGAAAATTTTCCTTAAATTTCCTGTTTGATGAGTTCACAGCCTAAACTGTTCTGCCCACTGAAGCCTTTTTAACCTACATTTTTAGTCCTGTCCACTAGGACATTACTTGTACTGAGATAGACAAAATATTGAAGCAATGTAAAAGCATACCACTATAGTACCTGCTATATATCTGGGCTCAGTGAAATGTAAGCCTTTTTATTATATTAGAAACAATATTCTGCATAGATTAGACAAATGTATGCATTGAATACCTACTATGATTTAAGCGCTTTGGTAAATTATCAGAAGATAAATCAATGACTGCTAAGATTTACTGAGCAGTTAGTTTATTTTAGATATTGTTCTAAAACTTTGTCTTTGTTATATCCATAGCAACTCCAGTGAAAAAATACTACCATTATCCCTGATTGTGGATGAATAATCATACATAAAGAATGCTAAGTAATTTTCTCCAAAGACATAGAGCAAAAAGTATTAGATCCCGGGATACAAGCCAAGATAGTCTAGTTTTATAGTTCATATTTTGTTGTTGTTTTTATTCTTGTTGTGCTGAACCACTTTCTGTGGACATGAATTTGGACTGCAAGAAACATATACTCAAGCATATTCACTTTACAGAGAAAATATTTTAAAGCATTTTCCTTGCCACTAAATCAGTAAGAAAAAAATACAGTTGTTGCACTCTACAGATCTCACTGCTAGCAGGCGCTCTGGAAGCCTTTCTCCCACACTGCCTTTTAAATGTCTCTTCCTGCTGTTTCAATCGTAGATCTGCACTGCAGAGGTTGCTTATTAAACACCAGTGACTTTCTACTCAATAAATATTTAACAATTCTTCCTGAAACAGTTCCTACATCTGATCTTATTATAACTCAATGTATAGTTTACCAATCCGTAAGCCTGCAAGTTCTCCTGTAAAAACAGAGCAGCTCTGTGCTTCCCATGTGGTCTCTGCTTCCAGGTGCTTAAATCTGAAGTCTCAATCCGCACTCCAACTCTTTGACTTGCTTTTACCTTTCAAATTTTGACCCAGATTTTTCTACAAACTCTTTGATGCTACCTAATCACAAAAATACCACCTTCCTTTTTTTCTCTTTTTTTCTTTCTTTATTTTGCACCTTTCTTTAAGGTCCAGTTTGTAAATTGTAATCATTCGTCTATTTCCCACACCAATATGTCAAATTTTTAAAGATATGAGGTGTAATGTTCTTGATTAGCATGCAATGCTTTGAACAAATGAGTAACAAAAATGCACTTTTTTTCTATTTTTCAGCATTTTAAATTTGTTTGTTATCTTGGATGATAATCATTTTCCATATTTCCACATAATTTTTTTATTTTTGGTCTATAATACAACATTAGCACATTCATAAAGGGTGCTAATGTGTTAGCTATCCAATTTTCCACAGAAAATGATATTACAAATAATCTAAACAACAACCAAACTTACCTGAAAAAGTAAATGCACATAATGTGCAACTTAAACAGAAATTTAAAAATGAAACATTTTAAAGGAATCATTTAGAAAAAAAACCTTCTTACACACTGTACTATTAAATTATTTCATATCCATAGTTTGTTCCAGCACTCACTACCAAAAAGTGTCAGTGCTTAAGCAATCTGAGAACACCCATATCTAGTAATACTACAACACAATTAAATTAGTATCATATGAACTTTTTTACCTTTGCATTATAGGGAATGTAATGCTTTGATAAAGCTTCAGGTGTATGCATCCATGTTTTATCTGCAACAAAGAAGACACAACATTAAATGACAGGTAAATATGATGTCACCATCGTGCATTAGCGTTAGCAGGAAGTCTCAGAGGGTCAGGAGCATTTCCAATTCTGAAATTCTTCTGCTACATTAAAGGAGAGTAACACAGTCAGCTATAAGAGGAATTCAACTGCAGATTGATTATAGGACTCTTTTGTTGATAAAAAAAAGTCCTTCAACTTTTACAAAAGTTTTTAAATAACACAAATTATACTGAGGTCTTAGAGAGGATATAAAAATACCAACATCATCAGTGGACTGAGTAACATTTATTATACAATTAAAGACAATTATCTTTTTTCTTTCACTTTATGCCCTTGTTAATTACAGGTTCTTTCTCTTGGTTCGTATAACAAAAAAATATTCTTTTTCCTCGCTGTGGTTATTTTTAGCATCAAGACTCAAATATTCTAAAGGGAAAAATTACATTATGCTAACAGTTGTACTTCCATGACACTGAAAAAATTTCAGTCTACTATGTTCATTAAGAAATCAATATAACTTTAGGATAATCTTTATTCTAAATTTAGAGAAATACTGACTGAAGGTCTACTATGAGGAGTTTTGAATATAAGTAAGTTTAAATGCATTACTGGGAAAAATTTCTTAAATATAATAAAATAGAAATAAATGCATATCAAATGTATAGATCTTTAACAACTATATATATTTTGTGTTGTTTTCATATTTTATTTGTATTTTATTTAATTTTTTTTAAATTTTATTTAAGGAGAAAAGAAAAAAAAAGCAGAGAAAGGGTACAAGCTATACAGATTTGCAGAAAAAAAATGAACAGTAGGAAATCACTAGTTAATGGATTACATATTGTCATCTTAGAAATAATTGTTCAAGTCACAAAATTAAAGCTTGTAAAGTGGACATTCCATCAATGATACTGCAAACAGTTCTGTTCAATGATCCAATAAAACTCTGTGATATCATATTCTATCTTATACACTTAAATATACATGCAGTTATATAGTTTAGAGCACTTTCTTTTCCTCTCTTTTGTACAATGACTATTACACATTTTGGGTTTCATTGCTCTCACGGTTCTTATTACTTTTTTGGAAGAGAGTAAAACCAAATGTGACATAACAGAACAGAATCGGTCAAGTCAAAAGGGTGGACATAATAGATAATGTGAAAACATAATACAAGGTGATCAACAATGGTTACCATAATGCCTCCCGCTATCTCTAGTAGAATTGCCTATACCATTAGTTATAATACAATTGAACAAAACAGTAAAGAACAAAACCGACAAAACCAAAACATTGGAGATATTGTAGGTCTTCAAAAGTAGATAAAAGTCAACGAGAATGGGCGTTATAATGAATCTCATTATCTTCACAGCTGATGCCTAAATTTTCGAACCTGATACTATCCAGCAAAACAGAATAGGGGAACATCAGTTAAAAACCAGATGGTGAGAGTAATACAGGGCTTTAAATCGAGGTAATGGAAAGTCAAAGTGGATTACTATAATATATCCTGCTATTTTTTTCCCTTTAATTAAAAGGATAAAAATTTTTAAAAAGTGTTAAAAAAGTAAATAATGGAATGGAGATTGAGATAAAAGAGGGCATAACAACGAAACAGTGCAGATCAGAACATAACCATTTAAGCAGAATAGTGTTTCACCACCAGATAATCCTGACCTAAAAGTAGTTACCATATTGTCTCTTTCCTTGAAATCCTTGAGTACAACTTCGTATACTGTAGCATTAAGTATATCAAAACAATGTAAAACCATTTAAGAGAATGACAGCATTACAGAGTATTTAGAATCGACTAACAGAAAATGAATAATGGTTTCTGTATAATCTCCTTGTCTTTAAAAGGTTTTTGCTTATACTATCGTACATAATAAAATCCAGTAAGATACAACCTATTTAGACCATTGGAGACAGAAGGACAAAAGCTAGATGAGACTTCAAAACAAGATGATACTAAATCAGTATTACCTATTAAGATGTCATTTTCTCCAAAATAGCTGTTCCTATCATCCAATCTTCTCTGCCTCATTTCTGTTGAGCTCTTATTCTGTCAGTAGCTGTCAGTTTGTCTTCTTCACTTTGTTCTCTGCTCCATTAGTTGTGGCCTCCACTATTTCTGGATTCTTTGTATTTTTCTTTTTTTAGAATATCCTGCAATACTCTCTGTAGAGTTGAATTGGTGGTTGCAAATTCCCCCAGTTCCTCTTTATCCTGGAAGCACCTTGTTTTTCCATCAATTTCCAGGGACAGTTGTGCAGGATATCTCAATCTTGGCTGGAGATTATTATCTTTCAAAGCTTGAATTATTTCCCCCCATGCTCTTCGTGATTTGATGGTTTGTGCAGAGAAATCTGCTGTAATTCTGATGGGTGCTCCCTTGTAAGTGGTCTGTTTCTTGTCTCTGACAGCTTTTAATATTCTGTTCTTGTATTGAATTTCTGGAATTTTTATTATTATATGTCTGGGTGTTGCTCTGTTTGGGTTGTAGGTAGCTGGGGTCCTGTATGCCTCATACATCTGAGTATCTTTACCTTTTGCTAAATTAGGAAAATTCTCCTGGATTATTTCTGTGAGTAGCTTTTGTAGTTCATTTGTTTGTGTCCCTACTTCTTCTTTTATGTTCTTAATCCTTAAGTTATGGATCCTCTTATCATCTTCTTGTCTTTGTATTATTGCTGTGTGTTTCTTTGTTATTTTTAAGAAGTTTTTCATTTCATTCTCCCATATTACAATTCTGCCCTCCATTTCAGATAGTCTGTCCTTAGTTTCTTTCAAGCTGTTATGCCAGTCTTCGATAGACTTCTTAGTTTCTTGGTAGTCCCTTTGAACCTGCTTCACGTATTCTATGCTTTCCCTGTTTTCTCCATCAAACAATTCTCCCCTCTTTTTCTGTTCTTCCATTCCACCATCTGTTTTTTCTTGGGTGGGGCTTAGCATTTCTCTAACTATTTTGCATACTTCTAGCTTCAGGTCGTTGATAACTTCATTCCTGAATTGGTCTATGAGGCTCTCTATATGGTGCTTTATGTGTATTGGTGCGGTGTCCGCTATTGCCTGTTTCTCAGAATTGGGGGCCGAGGAGCCTTTCTTGTTGCTGCCTCTTCCCATATTCTCTATGCCTTATATATGCAAGCTTATATGAGAGGCCCAGCTTCTCTCCCTGTCAGCCACAGCCTGAATGAATTGCGCCGGTTAGGTGTTCCCACTCACCGCTGCGCACCAGGCAGCCTACGCGGGGCCCGCCCCTCCCGGCCTCCGTCAGGCTCTGGGATCTGGGTTGGGCCAGCCTACGGGGTCCGCCGGCAGCGTCACGCAGGCCAGGCACTTTTCACCAATCCCGCCCGAGAGGGGAATGTGTGGCTGGAGTCGCCACCGCGCCCTGCTCCCGCAGGACTGCTCGGGCCCAGAAAGTCCGCTGGAGTCAAACTGTGGTGGAGTGTCAGTTTCTCTCACTCACCTCGCCACACGTCAGAACATGCCTCCCTGCCCATCCTGTTTTCGACTCCGTTCGCAGACTCCCGTTCTCAGAGTTTCCGCGCGTCTCTCTCCTTGCCGAGCCGATGTAGAGGCAGCCAGCCGCCGCGCGGCGGGAAACCCAAATCACGGCTTCCAATGGCGCAGGGTCCAGCCTCAGCAGCGAGACTTTTCTGTTCCTGTTTTAGCACCAGGACTGCATTCCAAGTTAGTTTCTCTCAGCCGAGTTCGTTCCTGAGTCAGCAGAGCATAACTCCACCTGCTTATGTCTCTTTAGTTTGCACCATACCTGGCTTCTGAGCCTAGTTTTTCAGAGAGCCTCCGGTAGTTGCTGTTATCTGTCCGCCATGTTCTCCCGGAAGTCTGTATTTTATTTAATTTTTGAACTTTATTCCTATACTAACAATGACATATCATGTGTGAAATTTTCATTTCTTGATTAAAGTATTTCTATGAGTTTTTATTTAATAAAATTTTATTTCTATGGTTTTTCACCTTGGTTATAACCTTTATGGTTGCTAATGATAGTGATATGATTAGTTTAAGAAAAAGTTGTACTTAGAATTGGAACAGTCTTGTCTGTATATATGAAGTAAATCACAGTGTTTTACACTGAAACATAAAAACACTAAACATTTGCTTTGTAACAAGAGAAAAGAGATTCAATTTCTTTTTCTCTTTTTGCTCAATTTTCGTATCTTCTTTCCTAAATACACAGCATTTCTGAAGAAGATGTGAAGTCTGACTAGAGTCTGAATACAATGGTTTGTACCAGTTCTGATGCAGGTAGAGTACTGCTTTCTTCTGCAAGTCACTATTATTTGAAAACTGATGATATTGCTTCTTCTACAGTTTCATATTGCAGTGACCTAAAAAGAGGGTAGGTGTGCCTGTTTCTTGTGACAGACCAAAATAAACGCAATATTAAATTACCAGTGGGTAGGCTGCAGTTGCTACAATAACACAATCCAGCAACCCCAGAACATTAAATGCAAATGCTCTAGTGGCTGTGCATCAAATAACCTCTGTTATAGGTAGTATAAACCTGACCGATATCCAGAATAAATCCTTACTATTACCTGGATTTATACTTCAGTGAAAGAAAAAAAGTCACAGAATAAAACTCCTGGTCCTCACATACATGCAGTTAGACCTAGAGGAGAAATTAGAGATGCTGGACTGCAATCACTAGATGTACCCACAGAAGCAGTTGGTTTTTAAAGAGAACTGGCACAGCTATAAGAATACAGACCTTCTAGATTTCCCTTTCTTAAAATTAAGGTCACCAACTCAATATTGAACACTCGCATGAGAGGAAATGCCAACTCTTCAAAATACTTTATAAACGTCAAACCACTGTGACTGCTATCATTAGGTTTCTGAAATATATTTAAGTAAGAGCTGATCAGCAAAGAAGCAGCAACTTCATTATTTTTTGTAAATTTAACATCATAAAAGCACCTGCTTTGAATATGCTGTTCTATGAACTGATGCATTTAGGACAACTTTCAAAAAAACAAAAAGAAAAGAATTCTTAAATAGAGAATTTAAGTCTTATGCTTTAGATTATAATAATCCATCAACATGCAAAGCAACAGGTTAAAAGTGTATGAACTGTAATTCACAGAATTATTTAATTGTACTTTGTCACCTGCTATTTTATGCTTTTTTACTAAATTACGTTAAAATAATAAATAGATACAGGATTTTCAAAGTTCAGAGAAAATGCTCACATAATCTGTAAAACAAATGCAATCATTCAGACTTAATCTATGATTAGAATGTTAGACTAAGCATTGAAGAGTGCTTCCAAATAGCTCAGAACAATACAAATCCAATTTATTCAGTGTTTTTCATAATCACTCAGCAATTGCAATACCATTAAAACATTTGCAAAGAAATAATTAGAACCTGGCTTATTCAATCAAAAAACACCATAATACTAATTTACAGATTTTAATTTCAAAAAAAAATGACAGTCTCTCTTCCTGAAGCAAATCTAAATGATAATCTCTCTTCTTGAGGCAGTTATAGGATTTCAGGTAATGATCAAGTGAAGTTGATCTCTATAAAATATAAGGTTTTACTGATAGAAGATCATTTTACTTTATTTAGAATACTAGATACAGTGTGTGTATACATATGTGCTAGTTATATATATGTACTAGTTACAGAAAATACCACTTGAATTATATATTCTTTTGCAGTTCTAGACTGCTAAGAATATATGAATGTTTTCACAAAATTCAAGTTACTGTCTGAAAATAAATTTAATTCAATAGTACTGTTGGTTAAAACCAGGAGCTGCGGTGCTAAGAATTCTTGTTTTAACAAATAAGAGTCAGAACTCAGGGACGTCTGCCGAACTTCACATATTGATTCCAGTTGCACTTGAAGCAAAATATCGAGCAGTAAATTCTTGATAAGGCTATTTCATAACTAGACTGAAAAGTTAGAGAAGGTGAAGGAAATTCAAAAGAATGAGGTAATGACTAGTGATTCTACTTTCTGGTTCACCAAATCATTGCAATTTTCCCCCAAAGTTGGATTTCTACTGTGTGCAAACAGCACAAGCATGTAGTCACTGGTTACCTGTGTAATTATCCAATCCTTAAAATTTGTCAGCCTCTTTCAAATAAATGCTCAGTTAAACACAGTTTAAATTTTAAAGGCTTGGGAAAGGGAATAGAAGAATCATGAATATATACTTACATATGTCAAGGTCTTCAGAAATGGTTTTTTAAAACTAAGATTATGTGATTCAAGTGATGACTTGTGATACAAGGTACTGTTACTTTACTGAAAATGTATCAGGATGATTCTAGACATCTTTACTAGCAAAAGAATAAAAAAAAACTTTTGTTTTTGATAGGTTTTTAAAGCAGAAACAAGCTATGGACTAAAACAATTTCATTTTATTTCCCTTTACTGAGAAAAATAAATAAATTAGTGTATTTCTAGTTTCACGGGCTTGAAAAACATCGCAAGGTTCACATTACCTAAATTCCTGCTGAATGTGTCAATTTTCTGTACCACATCCGAATGTCTGAACCCTCTCACTCCAGTCATGAAAAGTTAGTAATCTGAGTAATTCTATTACCCTTTATGCAACTCTGCCTGAGTGTTTTCTCCTAGGCTAAGTCAATGACCTTATAATTTGCACCTATTTGTCCTTTATTAAACTAAACCAGAAGGCTAAAGGGAGCCTCTTCAAACACTGAAAAGCAGCTCCCCCTACATGCCAGGCATCTTCTTTCCCTGTGCTTCCTGCTGCCTTGAAAGTTTCCAGCTTTTCTCATCCTGGCAAGTCACAATGCAATCCTTTTAACCCTTTCAGTCTGTTAAAGAGATAATACACTATGACTGGCTGCACAGAGAGGGAACTGAATGCTCTGGCTGCCATCCTGGACTGTTCGATGCTCACATATTAGAAAGATGAACTACAGTTTTGGCCATCACACTTGACTTTATTACTAGACCAGTGTTTACCCATATACCACGAAGGCGCATCTTCCAAAGAACAACACAATCAATAATCACTTGATACATTAAAAAATCATTAGATTCTGTGGCCCTTTGTTGAATAGCTTACAATAGCATAGCAAATCTATGGTGTCAAGTAAGACCTAATGATATAACTCACATATCTGTCACCCCACCCAACCAGCCACGCTTTCCATCATCTATGAATCTGATTCGCACTGTGGAAGTGTTCTTTTACAACTCACCGATAGTGCATTAAACAGGAGAGAGCCCTGTGGCCTCCGCTAGAGAAATTCCAGAGTGAAAACAATACATCATTTTACCTTCATTTAGCTAGATGACACTGAAATAGGTTGTTCCTATGAACAAATCACAATATAGTTTGTTAAATGTGATGTTTTCCTGCTCTTTGTAAACAACTTTTACACTACCTATTTCTCGTCATTCTTTACTGATAACTATGAGATGTTGAATCTAGATTTCTTTTAAATTCTTACCTGGATATTGATAAAAAAAACCTTTTGGTCTCATCGCTATGACTTCACTTACTACCAGTTCGGTTTTGTTTTTGTTTTTGTCTTTTTGAGACAGGGCCTGGCTATTCAGTTCAAGCTGGCCTTGAACTCACTTTGTAGCCCAGGCTGGTCTCTAACTTGCAAGGATCCTGCAGCCTCAGCCTCCCAAGTGCTGGGATTACAGATGTGTGCCACCACGCCCAGCTTATCAATTCTTTCATATTATTCAGTAATACATAAAGTATGCACACACACAAATACTCATGAATTTATATACTCAACCTTTTGCAGCCCCAAGAAATTTAGTATTATATAGCTATATAAAGTTCCGTTAGGACTAGGTTTCAGAGCATTTTATTCTTTAAAATTTCTTAACACAGCACCAAACTTCAGGGGAACATACTGTCACAGACATATTGTAAACACACTAGCGATAACTGTGAATTTTAATTGATCTAATTTAATTTTATTCTTGAGTGCTGTGGCTTGGTAATAGGAAAAACTGATCTCTTATCATCAGTGCTTTATTTTCATAATAACACTGATTTGATTCCCAGGTCCTCTGAATGAGCGCACTTACCTTTCTTCCTGCTAAAAGCGCGGTTCATGATGAGAATCTGCCCAGGAGCTGAGGTTCAGTCACAAATCACGCCCTACAAAAACAGTAAAATATAACACAAACATAAAGAACTGCTGCACAATCTCCTGTGTTAATGCATTTTAATGACAAGGACTTTTCAAATATTTACAAACTATATTCTAAGATATCCCAACAGCACTGGGGAAGAATAAACATACTCAATATTAAAATTGACAGTATATGTCAACTGAAATCCCTCCAAAGTTCTTTAATTTTATCTCTTTCCTATTATGCACGCATAACTAATTCTATTTATCTGAAAAACTGAGGACAAAGAAAGCCAGTACTTTCCTCTGAGCTTACTGTTAAGAAGTGTGATCGGATTTGGGGTTCTCATGAACACCAGAGGTAAGATAAAATGAAGCCATCTGATTATGCCATTAGGAATAAAATCACTTTGATAAATCCACTTGCACATATTAACATTCATTTTTATTTATTTTAAAGAAAAACAATAATAAAAACAATGGTATAAAATTTCAAAACAAGATTGTAGGAGAGTAACAATAGTACATTGTATACTGTCATCAAAGCAGTTGCTCAGATTACAAGGTACAGGCATGAAACACTGATCAAACAATACAGGTATGAACCTTTCTTTTCAATGAATTAATAGCAGTCAGCAGCACAAGTCTCTTAATCATTTGTGTATTTATTTATTTTCCCTTCCTTCTTTTCTCCTTTTTCCTGCACCAGTTTCTCTTTCTTTTTGAACAGTTTCTTCCCATTTCACAATCACCACTGTACATTTTGGATCTTATTTACTCTTTTCAGTTTCTCACACTGGGAGACAATACAGTATTTACATATGGAGTCTGATCTATTTTTATTTAACTGAGGGCCATCATTAATATAAATCACAGAAGCAGGTAACATCCTAGTAGCAGCAGTTAGAAGCTGAAAAGATTCCCCACTTACAGGTGCTTTCTGTGTGTGCTGAGCATAGGAAATAGTAGATTCTGTGTGAGATGTAGCATAGGATTCCAGGCTAGTGTTCCCTCTTTGTATGTACTATTTACCCAGGAAAGAGGTTTGGCTGTGCTTCATTCCATTGTGAATGCTACTCATCAAGACCAGGAGCTTGGTTAATGCACTTTACCTTCTATACGGTGCTTATTCAACTGAGACATTTTCAATTTTACTTATAAAATGTTTTCAGGTAAAACACAAATGATTCCTACAGTATTCCCTCAGAATGTCTGAGACAATTCATACCCAGAAGTTGAAATGGAATGTCTCAACTGGGCTGCACTGCAGTCTCTTATTAGGGGTCCATGAAAGAGTCAGTCTTGGTGATCAAATTGGCAGAAGCTGTTTCTTTGCTGCTCTGGTGAACAAACATTCTCAGACTGACACCAAACAACCTTGTGCCTCTATCTTATCTCCCATTAGGAAGAGGATATTTCTCATGGTAAACCAAAAGCCTTTTTAGTTTAAAAATATTATTATTTTATTAAAATATTTTATTAAAATTTTTTAAATAAAATATTATTTTTAAATTACTTGTTTTTAAGGATGATTTCAAAAAATCTTAAATAAGACTATATTTAATAATCTGATCTATGATATTCCAGGAACATGTTTTAACAGAATTCAAAGGAAATTCACACTCAGTATAAAAGTACAGCTCTGGGAGTTTCCATCTGCAGTCAAGAGAGTGGCTGACCTGGGTGTGGTCAGGTGCAACCCTCCCCACACCCTGCCTGCCACTGTGCATGAGTTATAGGAGGTAAACGGTAAGACAGAGTCCACCAGGTGCGACACCTTCTCCATCCCACTGTGAGGCACAGATTTACTATCACCTCCTGCTCAGAGACCTCCATCACTGCCCCGAGTCTTAGAGTTCTTTCTGTGTCCCTCTACCAAGAAGGGATGTGGCTCTACACTGTTGTAATGCTTTTCTCTTTCGAACTCCCAGTGTCTTTGAAGAGTTATGTACATGCACGTGCACGTGCGCGTGCACACACACACACACACACACACACACACACGACTGTAATACAATAGGGAACATGCTATATTCTGAACACCTCAGAAGTTATTTTTCACTCATAACCTAACAGAAACAGTTATTTACATTTTGGAAAAATAAGGGAAAATTTTTTTTAAAGATCAATGAAAAAGTTTCAATTTCTATGAAAAGTTAACTAAATATTAGGAAGTTTATTAAGCAGCAGATCAAATTTAATGCATGTTTTCATTACTTGAATTCTATAACTGTTAGGCAGACATTTTCAACAACAGCAGGTCGTGAAATATGAAAAAGAAATTGCACAGTTCATAATTTAAACATTCATCAAATTAAATAATAATGTGGCTTTTAGAATAAAAGCAATAGAGTATAAGTTACGTGGGAACATATAAACAGAAAAAAATAGCAAAATTATATAAAGTTTTTAGGGCCCAGTAAGGATGTCATAAAATGAAATAACGTATTCTCTAAAAAAACAAAAGAACTTCCACTTGCCCACAAAATGCACAACTATAAATGTCATTTAATAGGAAATAAGTCATTATGCTAAAATAACCTATGATTTCACTGTCAAATGTCATGTATTACTTATTTGATCTGATAACACTCTATACTACTTTGTAAAACTCCTTGCTACCCAACTAGAAAACAATTGCAGACTACTCCACTGTGTATTACACAATATCTGATGACAGGCTGGGGTTCAATATATTGTGTATTTATTTAATGTATGATAATAATCACTTAATAGTTTTCGAGTTGAAATAATAAAATATATAGTCATGAATTTAATATGTTTGGGGGCTGAAGATTTAGCTCAGCAGCATAAGTGCCTGCCTGGCAAGTGCGAGGTCATCAGTTTAAACACAGGTACCAAAAAAACTCAAGTATTTATAGATTTAATACATTTAATTATAAGTTCTACATATAAGCAAACTAAGGCAACTGGCAGTGTAATATAAATCTTACCTTTTGAATAAACTTTCCATAAATACTTTCAGTGACTACAATCACATGGATGTATTATTTCTCTATAAATAAATATTTCTAAATTTTAACAAAATACATAGAGAATTATTTATGCAACATTTTATCTTTTAGTAATTTTTTCCCAAAATATGGCATGCAAGAGTACACTTTACTAGGTGTAAATTATTACTATTTTGGGTTTTCTATTTTAGAATTAAAAAGCAGTTGTAATACAACACTATTATCACTTATATACAAGAATGTGCAATTCAATTTACACTCTAACATGTATTAATGAATAATGAGCGTGTCCTGTACTTTTTGTATTTATTTTTAAAACATAAAACTCTTTGGGACATAGTGATATATGATATGACATGAGAATTTACACTAATTTCCCCAATGGTAGCTTTTTAAAAGAACCATTGTCATTCAATACATATTTCAAACCTACTCTGAAGTTTATGTGGCTACCTTTCCAAATCAACCCTGCTATCATCTCCATTAGTCACTTCTGCTCCTGGTCAAGATGAAATAACAGAGGCTAGATTTACCTTACCACCAAAAAACACTTCAGAGGAAGAAAAATGAATGGAACAATGACTCATTTGCAACAAAACACATTAGTCCATGGGAGATGAGAAACAAATGACATAAGCCCTATGATTTCCTGGCATACTGTCTAGAGAAATTTCCACACTATACTCAGGGAAGTAGCAGTCAGTCAGATGCCAGCAGTCTCTCAGAGCTGATAAGACATCTTCAAAATGCAGTGAAATCAAAATAACAGTGTTCACACCAGCTGCCCCAGAGGAGAAGGCTACTGAAAAAGAACAGAGATACCTGCAGAACGTCCTCTCACACTTGAGTACTGATGAACTACCAGATGTCTAGAGGTCAATGATAAAAGAGGAAGTTCTATAATCCACAGGACACTAATTAGGTTACTATGAAATATCCAGTTTACCAATGAGAAAAGATTAAAGGGGGGATAAATGGTGCTTGGATATTGCCTAACAAATTTTTAAAAGTAATTGTGTTTAAGATGGATTACACTGTTTCCAAGCAACTTCACTGTATTGCAGAACTATCCTCAGTAATGTTACAATGTATGCAAAACTGATCACAACCAACTTGGTGTAATCCACAATGTCCAGCATCTCCAATTTAAAAAAAAAAAAAATCTAGCATGTGAAGTAGTAGAAAAATACAGCCCATAATAAGAAAAATGGATCAAGTCTTACCCAGAATTGTCAAATACAGTAGAAATTATAAACAAGAACATTTAAACATTTTTATCTATTCAATTAGGTAGGCAATAGATTATAAAAGTGCACATATGTGCATTAAACTAATCTGAAAGTAACCTAAATCAAATTTCTAGAAATGAAAACCAAAATGTGTGACATAAAGAAATATGGTACATGTGGAATTAATGGTAGATAAGACAGGGAAAATGGGGGAAAAAGGTGAAATTGAAAATACAAGTGTAGAAACTAGCTCAAAATTGACAAGGAGAGAAAGATTAATCCAAAGACTGAAGGAAGGAAGGGGAGGCGGGTGACAGACTCCTGAACCTTGAGAAAACAACCCATTCTCAGATAGCCCCTGGAGGACGAGAGAGAGAAAAACAGCAAAAAACTATTGAAATCTTTCCAAATTTGATGAAAATTATACACCCAGGGAAAGAGACAGAGAGGCACAGACAGAGATTAAGTACACTTGTCAAAATTAGGATGATAAAAACAATGTAAGTTAAAAGACAAAAAAGAACTGCTTTAAAACTCTGAAGAAATCAAAGTTAAATCACAAAGAAACACATTATCCAATTAGAGAAGAGAAAGAGTGAGACTGACTTTAAGTTTCTTCATAAAATACCATTACCCAGTTTTGATTTTCAGAGTTCAGAAGCAAGTTCCTCTACTATATATTTGTAGCATATTGAAAATGCCATTAAACAGCCTTATAAATTCATTTAATAGCTGCAATGCCTGGTTATATTCAAACCCATAAACGGAAAACTTAAATGTGACTGAGAGTAATTCATAACTCACTATTGATAACTCACCAAA